GGTCGAGTTGACCGAACCACTATAAATTCATGTGTTCTTGTTTTCTTGCTTCCTCACTTTTATTTCTGCATTTATTTTTGTGGTGTGATTTTGGTTTATGTGATTTTTATTCTTTGAGAAAAGAAATTTTTTAAAATACCAATTCACCCCCCCTCTTGGTTAGCTTGGGACTAAGTTCATAAGGGCTTAACATCCCTAATGAACTATCAAATAAAATATTATTGTTCTATTAATTTTATTGGTTCTCCTAGCATGTAGTGCATGTTTCTATTTATTTTTGTGTGTACTAACATTTTAGATAAATCATACTCCAAATTACTGAAGACTTCAAGAAATAGTAGAATAGAATTTCATGTAATAAAGTCTATAAATCTTTATTTTTTATTTTCTTGAGTCTTAGATAAGATAGTGTGATTGTAATTGGGTAACCATGCAATATTGTTGGTCCTAAATATACTTGGTGCAATAATAAGGATGGCCTTACTCGTATATGGGAAAGGCTTAATAGAGTTTCTTAAACTCTAAAGCTGCAGGTTCCCTTTTGGGGTGATAAAAATTTTACCTCGAGTTGCTTCTGATCATTGTCTATTGTTATTTAACTTAAGCAATTCAATTTCTATCAAGCATACAAATATCATATTTGAGAACATTTGGTGTTTGTATTTAGCTTTGAGGGGTATTGTTGTAAAAGCATGGAGGAAAAGTGCTTATGGTTCTACTGTTGATGTACTGCAAAGGAAGGTTAATAGATCCCTTAAATGTTTGTACTGTTGGAGAAAAAACAAGTTAAAAGAGCTAACCAACCTCAAAGCTACGTTACAAAGTGAATTTTTACAACAACAAGAAGAGGAGACAAAGGTGAAGGTATTGAGCCCAGAAAAACTGCTAATTCTTAGGAAAAAAATTCATGAATTAAACATTACTCTTGCTAGACTAGCTACTTGGTGGCGTCAACGATCTAAAACATAATGGATGGAAGAAGGTGATCTCAACTCTCATTTCTTTCAGGCTTATGCAACAATAAGAAGAAATGGCAACATGATTAATCAAATCTTTTATCCTAATGGTATCATTGAGATAGATTTTGAAGCAATTCTAACAGCTTTTGAGAAGTTCTTTATGAATAAGTGGAAACAGTGAAATTTTGAGCTAAATAATTGGCTTCCCTTTAAATTTAAAGATCAATTAAATGAAGAATTGAAGGAAGCTCTGAAATCAAATTTTACCAAAGAAGATCTTTATTTTACTATTGTGAAGATTTGCAACAACAATTCACTAGGTTCTGATGTAGCTAATGCATGCTTCTTCAAATCATTTTGGAGTATTGAGAAGAATGAAACATGGAACAATATTGATAAGTTCTTTATTTTGGGCATTATGTCTAAATATTGGAAGGAAACATTGGTTGTTCTTATTCCAAAAGTTCCTAAGACCTCATATTTTTATGAATTCCATTCTACCAGTTTATGCCATACTATCTAAAAGATGGCTACGGGTATGATTTTAAACAAATTAAAGGCTTGTCTTCCTAGTATAGTTTCTAAAGTTCAAGGAACTTTTATTTAAGGTAGAAATATATCTGATAATTACCTATTGGCTCATGAAATTTTCAATAGAATGAGATTTTTCATAAATAAACCAGGTTTTATGCTTTTGAAACTTGACATGGAGCAATCATATGATAGCATGAATTGGGAAACATTAAATCAAATAATGAAGTTTATGGATTTCTTGGGCAAGATTATAAACTTGATAATGCAATATGTTTGTGATATGAAATTTTACATTAAGATTAACGGGAGAAAGTGTAACTGGATTCAAGCTGAATGTGGCTTTAGATAAGGTTGCCCATATCTCCATGTCTATTTATTATGTGTTCTGAGCTATTAACCAAAGCATTATATGGCAAAGGTGATCACCTTGGCATTAAACTAGCTTTAAATACTAAAAAATTATCTCATCTTCTATATGTTGATGATATGTTAGTTATTACTGAGGCTTCTAGAAACAATGCAAAACTTTTGAATCAAATTCTTGATGATTATTGTAACCAGACTGGACAGTGTATCAATTCCTAAAAAATCTATGGTTCTTTATGGGAAGGTAATTTCAAAAAAATTAAAATAATGTTAAATAAATTATTGGAATTTTCCTCTGTTGACGAGATTTCTTAATTAGGAATAAAAATGGCATTGAGAAGAATGAAGACAT